ATCAGAATGGCAGACCAAGTTAAATGATTTCATTTTTCCTTTGTTTTGTTGGATGTTGGGATAAGGAGGGACTGCACAACGCACACAACTCCCCATCACCACACAATCACTCAGAGTCTCCTTAATGGTCCCCTTTAGTCAAATCCCAATTATTTGTAGACTTGCTCCCAACTACGAGAGAGAAAATAATTTCCTTCAGTTTGGAATTAAAAAGCTGCTAAAAGAGTTCCTGAAATAAATGGTTTCTGGGGTCTGGGAAGAATTAGAGCCCCAGAATTTTGTTATTTGAGCAGTTGGGCTGATTGAACTTGATTTTGTTTCATTTACTCCGCTCTCTCCTGCAGCAGAGGGGCCTGTTACACACACTGGGTGCTCCACACACTACACAACCCTCTGGATACTGGGAAGTGCTGATGGATCCTCATTCCTGGGGGAAGAAAAGCAGTTCTATTTACATGGAATATTTTGCTTGGGGCAAGGAATGACACACTCAGTGGGTAATGATGTCCAGGCTGGAATGATGCAGACCTGTGCTGGGAGAAGGTGAGGGATAACCCTGCCATTCCTTCCCATGGGAAAAGTGCTGCAGTGAAACTCCTTGGGATCCAAAGCCTTTATATCCTCACCATTTATATTCTGAATGCTGAGCCTTGGATTCAGGAACATTCAGCAGTTAAAACCAGCTCCCTTACAAGTCTATTTTCATTTTTTTTCCTTTAATAAAGGAAGAGCAGCCTGATGTTTTCAGCCTGGGTGGCCCAAAATCCTGGGATTCTGGAAAAGAGCAACTTGTTTTGGGGGTTAAAAGCTGCAGATGAGCCTTGTGAGCCTTTCCAGTGATAAATAAAAGCCCTAAAGTGGGGTTTGCAGGGTGAAGTGGCCTCTGCAAGTGCTGGGTGGTGACAAAGTCCTGGCCCTGGGAACCCCCCCAGACCAGCTGAATTTCCCCAGAACAATTCCCAGCTAAATTATTCCATCAGGGGAAAAACTCCAGCCCTGTTTAACTCTCAGGGGGATTTGGGACACACTCAGCTCCAAGTTGGGGAG